GAGCTTCTGTAGAAGTTAAGCTCAAAAATGGGAGTCTGGGGGCAGCCAAGAACTAAGAAAACAGGCTGGGTCTTGAAGCCAGAGAACTGGGTATGGCCTGGAGTTCCCAACGTCTGGCTGCATGAAGCCATGTTGGTTTTCTATAAAATGAAACATACTGAGTTATGCAAATAATGACGTAGTACCATGCACATGAATGTAGATCCATCCAGCACCTTGGCCCTTGAGGGCATCACCTCAGGGGACCCTAATCGACCACATATCTCCAACACTGACTATAGCCCTCCAACCTGTGTCCTGAGTCTGTGGCTAGACCCTGCTTATCCAGACCCCCCCTTGTGTAGCCTCAGCCTCTTCCTGGCTGGGGGTTGAGCAGAAACAGCTCAATCAGGATATAATCTTTTTTAATTAACGTGCGGATCATTTCACAGGCTGATCTCCTTGGAGACCACAAGAAAGACAGTCTTCTAGGATTTTCCTTCTTTTTGCTCTCCCAGTGTATCCTTCTCAGTAAAAGGCCATACCTCACTTTTCCTACCATCTACAACCTTGAGAACTGCATAAAAGCCTGGCTCTTGGGTCTCCTCAAGGCCATCAGGAGGTTGTTATATGGTCACAACCACACACATACACAAGCTTGCATCCCACCCCCAGCACATACCTGCAGAGATGTGCATGCATCCACATGGAGGGCACCCACAGGAGAACATAGAGGCATGTGTGTCTAGACAGAGGAATATGCATTTGGAGGCAGGAGGGTCACAAGTTGAAGGCCAGATAGCTACATAGTAAGATTCCTGTTTCAAAAAAATAAATAAGGGGGAAGGAGGATTAGAGGCACACACATGGGCATACCCCAAAACATGACACACAGATGAGCACTCACCTGCACACATCCTACACAAATGTCCATATGTCCATATTCAGCACAGTTTCAACCTTCATGGATGAAGTGCTGGCAGGGAGGAGACAAAAAGGGCCCTGTTCTTGAGTGGGAAATCAGAAGCCACAGCTGCATGCTACAAGGGTCTCCAGGGCTGGGTGCAACATGTTTGGGGTCAAAAGGACCTAAACCACATAGAAGCATATAAGACCCAGGCTAGTGGCCGCTCTGTTTCCTGTTTCCTATGGAGAAGGTGACAGAACAGCACTCAGCCCTGTATAGCCACTCCATGGTACCCAGCACCAGCTGGCCTGACATCCCACTGAAGTAGTGTTCCAGTTCTTTCTGGATACTTGATGAGGTCCATAGGGCTTTCTCTTTACTTCCTTTATTTGATCTAAAATCCTTTCTATCCCATTTCTCTTTTTTTCTTCTTCCATTTTCTTCCTTCCAAGCCCCCCCCCCCCTTTTTTAGAATTGCTTTTTCATCTGTTTCTTTTCCTTCCTTTCACCCCAGGTGTCCATAGTCAACTTCAGATCAGAAGAATTCTAAATGGACTTAACTGATCCCCATCCCAGACACAGTGCATCTGATAGGTGCTTGTATCTTCCCAGCTCCTAACAGACCACAGCTGGGTCTCTGAACTTGGAAGCTGCAGCAGAGAGGAATTACCACCTGGGGCCTGAATTCTACAGCTCCACCTCTCTTGATGCACTTGCTTCAGACCCTCAGCTTTTTCCTTTGGAAAATGAGATGGTAAAGGGGTAAGAGGTCAGGGGAGGGTTAACCAACTTCAGGCTGGGGATTTAAGTAGTAGCCCTAGATCCACTGCCACAGCAGTGTACATGACACAGAAGATGTCAGGAGCCTATTTGCTACCGCTCCAGCTATAGACAGCAGGGACAAGCTGAATGGTTCTCCTCACCTAGTCTCTCATCTATGAAATGGGCAAACTCGGCCTAGGACTCCTCCCAGATACAATAACCCAAATGCCAGATCAGTAGCAGGTTCTTGATATGTGACCTTGGGACTCACTTCCCCTCTGGGCTATGGTTTCCTCTTCTTGAGTCAAAAGAGGGAGGTCAGACAAGTGAGTCATTGCCAAGGTTCTTTGCAGCACGAAGAAGTTTCTAGACAGTAGGGAGGGAAGAACAGTGTCCTACTTAGCCCAAGAAAGCCAGAGAAGCCTTTTTCTTCCACTGCAGGCATGCTGGAGCCTTTCATGGTGGTGGCAGCAGCAGCATTTTGAGGAAATCACCTTTAAACACCAGAAAAGGCTCTCTACATAAAATATACTCAACTCCATAATTCTTGTTCCAGTATATAGAACAAAGGGCAGTATTAAGTGAATTATACCAAATCCACTTGACTGGAAAAGCCTGAAGATACTAACATTGGTGTTTACAAAGAGCTGGTTATAGAACAGGAAAAGGCTGGTGTTATCAGCATCCCCTCAAAACAAACAAAAGCAGGGCATACATACATCTAAATATGGACAACTCAAGAAAGCCTTTAAATCACCAACCATCAAAGCCAACATGTGGGAAGAATCATACCAACATGTAGACACTATCAGAGCCCATTAAGACACTCAATAATCTGTTTGTTTTTCTCAATTTTTCAGGGTTTTTTGTAAACTGTGTTATAATATATATGTCAAAAATACCTTTAAAAAATGACCGGCTGCTTCTAATCCCCTTTCACTCACTGACTCACTCATTAATCATTCACTCCTATGTTTGTCTAGCCAAATACCAGACAATATTGTCTGCAGTATGCCTGGCTCTGAGGTTCTGTGAGAATAGCTTCTGCCTACAGGAAATGGAGGTGATGTCCAGAGCAGGGTAAGTAGTCCCCTCTGTGCTGTATCCCCAGCTTTCCTTCACCACACACAACTCTCCAAGGTGCTTATGCCTTGGGGTTGAACAGTAGGCAGCAACAAACTTGGAACAACAAAATGAAGCTCTATGTCCCAGAGCCCTCATCGCCAAGCTGTCTCAACTCACAAATGTCACAGTCTATCTTGGTGGTCAGAAAGTCACTCTAAAAGACCCAGGTCTTCAGCTGTAGGGGTGAAGGTGTGGGTGTAAGCAGAGAGTCAGAAAGGTCGTGTTTCTCTTCTTCCTAAACCCAGTCCCTATGATGACAGCCCTCTCAGTTTCCATGACCCAGGCCTAGAACCTCTTTCCCTTGAGCTACAAGGCCACAGCTTGGATGCCTGATCCACAAGCTCTGACTTTTGTCTCCTACAAGGTCTCTAAATAAGGAACCAGCATGCATCCTGTCCAGCTAGTGGCAGAATCTACTGCTCCAATGAATAGGGAAAGCGGGGTCTGGATCTGCAGCTCCTGCCAGGCAGTATCATGCTGTTAGCATGGAGGGGCTAACAATGTTTCTCTGTTGTTTAGGGACTGACAGATTTCTGGGAGAAGGTTAACTCTTTGGGTTTCTAGACCCAGCCACAGAACAGTCTAAAGACAATCCATTTCCCTAGCCCCAAAAGGAACTTCCTTGTTCCCCTAAGAATCCTGTTTCTAGGTAGAGAGGTGTCTTCCCCAGCTTGAACAGGCAGCCTATGGTATCTGGACTCCATTCCCCCTGAGCAGCTCAACTAGTCGTCTATCAAAGCTGAGGTTCACAACACCCACCCAGCCCCACACCTCTCCACAAACCCAAAGTGAAGATCTGACAGCTTTGAGTGCCAAGACTCTGACCTAGAAGCCCCCCCCTTGGAGCTAAGCCCTCCCCCTTTCTGGACTGCAGTCCCCAGGAATTCTCTGGGACAGACCTTCTTTCCCATGGCACCAGTGTGAAAAATAACTGTTCTATCACCCTCCCCCATTAGCAGCCCTTCGGCCCATTTCATCCCAGGGAAAGCGCAGGCTGCAGATCTCTGGGTCACCAGAGCACTGGTGTCTGCTGTGCATTTCAGGAAGCCAAGCACTTGTCATACAAGCACATCACCTCCGGGATCACCTCTCAGCCTGCATTGTACAGGAGAGGAGGAGGCTGAGGTTAGAGTAGGTTCTTCTACGTGCCCAAAGGCACCAGCCAATCGTCAAGCCTGGGCGGACAGAATCCACAGCCCAGCCAGTGCACCCCAACTCTCCCTGCTGGGCACCCCTACTCGCCTCCTCTCCACACCATCCAGTGGTAACCTCTCCAACCCAAACAAGGAAGAAAGAGGGAGTTCCTTCCCGTGCCTAGGGCTCAGGGTCAGCAGTCACAGGAGAGGCTGAGTCATGACCCCTGCCCCTCACCGCAAAGGCATGAGATTTTATTGTCCGCTTGGCCGGCCACTCAGCTGTTTTAGCAGCCGGGCTGGCGCAGGACAGGGGACACGCAACAGGGAATGAGGAGGGGTATCTAGGGGAAGTGTTTGAAGCCTATCAGTCCACCAGATCCGGAAGCTGCTGGGAAATGGGGGAGGGGGCTGAGGAGGGGGCTTAAACGCTCCAAGGCTGAGAGGAAGGGTAGCAGTAGCGTCCAGAGGCGTCAGGGAACCGTCCCCGGGGAGACAGCACTCTCGGGAAGTTTCTCACTGGTTGCTCACAGTAGGACCGGTGATTGAAACGCCCTCCCAGGCCGAACCAGCTTCCCGACACAGATTGCGAACTTGAGGTGAACTCCTTCCTTCTCCAGCATCCCCATCTGCGGCCACCCGCCGCGACATCTCAGCCCCAATTCTTCCACCAGTAGCTCGGTCGCCGTGACCGCTCACCAAGGCATTGTGGAGCAAAAAGGAGGGGAGAATCCCCAGCACAACCTAACTGCTGCGGCCATTAAAAAAAAAGAAAGAAAGAAAAAAGAAGAGAAGAGAAGAGAAGAGAAGAGAAGAGAAGAGAAGAGGAAAGGAAAGGAAAGGAAAGAAAGAAAGAAAGAGAAAAGAAATTCCTTCTCCTGAGACTGATCCCCTCCACCCACATGGAAAACCTCCAAACACGCAAACCCGCAACTCCAACAAGGATCGCGGCGCGGTGGGAGGGGTGCCCCCGGCGACCCCCGTCAGCAGCCCTGCTCCACGGCAGGTCAGAGCGCGGTGGCAGGCCGGGATTCAAGGAGCCCTCTTGCCCGGAGCAGCCCGCCGAAGACACAAAGCTTCGCCGCCAACAATACCTGCGGGCTCCTCCTGGGTCTTGGGGCGCCGGCGTGGCGCGTCTCGCAGTCTCCCTTTCTCTTGCCGTCTCTCTGCAACGTTGCGCTCTCCCCCTCGCTTCTTCCAGTACCCAACCGCCAGATGAGATCCTTGGGAGAAAAATATGTGAGCGCTCACACGATTCCTTTCTCTGCGCGCCGCGAGCGCTGGCGCTGGGCTCGCTCCTCTTTCGCGCTCCCGTGCGCGCCGCGCCTCTCCAGCCCCTGGCTTCCTGCTCAGCAGCGCCTGCGAGTGCCCTCAGTAGCCATTATTCACTGGCCGCCGGGGGGACAGGAGGTAATTAGAGACGGCCTTGTGGCCACGTCCACTGGGCTAGCACGATGCGGGCGCAGGGCGCGCGCGGGGAGGGGCACGCGACAAGGGGGCTTGGCTGCGCGCAGCCCGCGCCCCAGACGCGGAGGAGGGGAGAAGAGGGAGGGGGCAGGGAGGAGGAGTGGTAAACTGGGCGCGAGCGGGAGGAGGGGACGCCAAGGAGACGCTCTCGCGGCTCTCACCGCTGTGGCCAGGTCACTGCTGCGAGGTTCCTAGGCGCCTAAAGACCGAGTGAGGGCTGGGAGGGGGTGCTGTGCGTGCGCGCGCGCGTACCAAAGCTAGAAGGGAGGGAACGCTTTAATATTTTTTTCTAGTGACTTACGAGCCCACGGGTGAGCCCTTGGCGGTGCGTTCAGGACCGTGTATCAGTGTGGCTATAAATTTCTGTTCTGCCCTACGTGTGAATGTCACGGGCTGGTGATGGGGGGGGGGGGGGAAGCGATTAACTAGAAACCAGCCTCTGAACATGCCGGTAGGTCTCGGCGGGACTGAGTGATGCAGTGGTTGCGTGGGGGTGGTGTTTGTGTGCGATTGTTTATAGGTGGTAGTGTGACTGTGTGGGCGGGGCTGCCTGCGTGGGCTGTGTTCCGAGGGCGTTGTGTATTAGTATGGGCTTGTTTGCGACTGGGCTGGCTGCTGTGTGGGGCCAAGGGACTGAAAAAGTATGGACATTGCGCCTGTGCGTGCACTGGACACACGCAGGGATCTGAGGCTGCCTGTGATAGCTTAGGGTCTGAAACCTGGCAGGCAGAAGCTAGCCCTAGAGGATCCCACCGAGCAGAAGAGCTGTTTAAGGTGCGAACAAGCAGAGCTGGGGTTGGGGCACAGAAGGACGTGTGGGAGTGTGTATGTGTAGGTGTAGACAAGTAGGTAGGGACCTTCGTGACGTGCTTCCTTTCACTGCACCAGAGATGCACCTCAGAGATTCTGGCACTTACAGACCCCACAGACCCAGGGGTTCAGGGTTTTGAGGGGGTGAAACTGGTTGAGCTCAGGATATCTTGGAGGTGGGCAATAAGGGAGGTAGTGCCTGAAGACAGCCAGAGAATAAGATGAAACAAAGAAACTGGGACTTTGAGGCTGGACCTGGCCAGGAGGGGGGGTGGGGGGGTGGGGGGGTGAGGAAGAGAGCTGCCACCACACTAAAGACAGACCCCTGGGAACAGGATAGAAACACCACACTTAGTTGCAAACTGAGAGTTTGCTAGCCAGCCCTTTTCTAAGCCACCCACGCAGCCCACCCATTTTATCCACCCACCCATCCATCCATCCATTCATTAATGAATCTATACATCCATTCATTCAAGTATCCATCTAGGTTTTCCAAGCCAAGATTAATTACCCAATCCTGCCCCCCTAAATCTCTTCTTCTTCAGGCACCTATCTGCTCTGTGGGAAAGGAGCTATCTTTTTCACACTTAGGGGCCAGTGGCTGATGCTTCTAAACCCCACCTTGCACGTGCAGAAAGAAACCTCCACAGACCCTACACCTCATCCCACCCTGCCCATGATGGTGTGCCTTCTAGGCTAGGGTGAAGGTGGTGGTGTTTCTTCTCCTCAACTCTCCTTGCAACCTGGTGAGGTCTAAGAGGGAGCGAGTATATGACAACAATTGTTCTACCTCCTGGTCCTTGTCTTGAAAGTCACCCTAAGTCTACCATTGGAATGGAAAGATGCTTTAAAAACACTCCAAGTTGGACATGAGGGAACTAACTGACTTGGAATCCCAGCACTTAGGAGATAGAGGGAGGAGTTCAAGGCTATCTGCTATACTGCAAGTATGAGGTGAGGTTGAGATACTTGAAATCCTCTCTCAGACAAAAAGAAAAAGCAAAACAGACATTTCCTTATCAAGTGGATGCCCAGGGCCCTTGTTGTTCTCTTTACAGGGAATCAGCATTTACAGCCAAGCTTGGCATTTCTGAGTTTCCTCTGGTCCCATTATGCAATGAGGGCCTCCTTAGTCACTTGAAGAGCAAAGCAGACCTCTGCCAAGGATGAAACTTAAAGGATAAGGTTAATCTCCTCACCTTTAAAATGCAGGGCTGCTTAGTTTTGATCTGGAGAGATAGCCCAGACTGCTCTTCCAGAGGATGAGGTGGGAGTGGGGATGGGGTATTCAATTCCAAGGACCTACATGGAGGCTCATCACCATCTGTAACTCCAGTTCCAAGGATTCAGAAATCTTCTTCTGGCTTCTTCAAATACTGGACATTCATGTAGTACACTCATACACATCCAATAAAAAATAAATATGTGTTAAAATTTCATTTTATTTTACGCATATGGGTGTTTTGCCTGCATGTATGTCTGTGCACTGTGAGCATGGCTGGTACCTATGCAGGTTAGAAGAGGGTGTTGGGTCCCCTAGAACTGGAGTTACAGATGGTTGTGAGCCACCTTGTGGGTGCTAGAAACCAAATCCAGGTTTTCTGTATTATCACCATGTGCTCCTAACTGCTGAGTCACCTCTCCAGTCCCCCTCCCCTCTGGCCTAACTCTTCAGTGTTCCCAGTGGCTGATGGTCCCTTCACACAGGCCTTTATGACTTTCTTGATGTCATATCCTACTTTCTGGCTTCATTACAGTACTGTACATGCTGGTTCCTCTGCCTGAAACACTTTCCCGATTCTAAGTGGCAGAAATTCCCTTTTTGTTTTGTAGGTGGCTTTTCTGATTGTTCCTTGGTGTGTTCTCCATTGGTAGGTTGGTTCCTGATATCCATTCAGTAAGTATTTGGTAATGAATGTGGGTGAGCCTTGATTCAGCCCATGGCTTCTCTATGAACTGATAGCCTATTGGACAAGGTGATGGGGTTAGAGAAACTTGGGGTTCAGTCAGGCTGCATGACTCACCTAGCCATGAATACACGTCACAGATCCAGATGGGTCTAAAGGAATGAGGTAGTGATGGGTGACTTGTCCCCAAGAAAAGAAGAGTACTTATTTGTTCTAGGGGCCTATCTTTGGCTCAGTGGAACTCCCAACTAGAAAGGTCAAGAGAAGCTGTGTTCTCTGCCCAGTACAGTATCTAGCATGTGGTACTCAGAACTCAGTCTGTATTTATCAAATGACAAAGTCAAAACTCACATTTAAACTGTGTGAGTCCAGCCTCTGGCTTGTTTCCTAAGACTCTGCTGGCAGGGTTCTGTGTGGTGGCAGGCAGTTCAGGCTTGCAGCACAAATCATTTTCATGCAAGGGATGGCCAGGTGTAGGGCTACAGGGCAGGAGGGTTTCCTGTGTCCTAAGCCTCAGATTCCACTAGTTAAGTCCTGCCTGGGGACAGCAGAGTGGTGGCCCCTACTGAGTTAGGAAGAGTTTTATGGGTGCTTCTCAAAGGTGTGGCTGACCAGCCTGCCTCATAGTTGCCTATGGCTATCTGAACAGCTGCTTTATTGCACAGTGAGAGGAAAGCTAGAGAAAAATGGAAAGGCTGGGTACTTAAGCAGGAGCACAGAGAAGTCTGGGGGTTGGGGGAGGGCACAACACAAAGGACAAGGCCACCAAGGACTGGGTTAGCTAGGGAACACTTAAGCAGGCAAAGAGGAGAAGGACAGACCCACACAAACAAGAGAAGTAGGTGTCCCTGAGATTCAGAAGTCAAGTTCAAACAACCCTGGGCTTATAGCTTCAGGCTAAAAGTCTACAAGACTTGGCTTAGAAGACAGCCAGGGTGTTTTTTTATTGTTTGCTTTGCTGGAGTGGGGCAGGTTTTGCATGTATTATATTTGGAGGAGGGGGTGGCAATTTTAAATTTCCATATATCCTCTCCATTTCAGGGACTGGGTCACTAATATCCAATGATGCTCTTCCCAATGTCACACAACTTTCAGGTGGTAAAAATGTTCATCTAGGGCTCAGTAGTGACGAGTACCGATTGCTCTTCCAGAGGACTCTGGTTCAATTCCCAGCATCCACATGCCCGCTCACAACTCTCTGTAACTCCCAAGACATGATACTCTCACACACAAATGCATGAGACAAAACACCAATGCACATAATTATTTAAAGTGTTCATCTACAGGTCTGGTAGGGGTGTGCGCGTGTGTGCGTGTGTGTGCGTGTGTGTGCGTGTGTGTGTGTGTGTGTGTGTGTGTAGTGTTCATCTACAGGAGGTTTGGTAGATATGTGCTGAGTACCTACTGGGCACAAGGATCTGCTCTCTGTGCTGAGGATCTTCAGCAAGAAATGAGACAATGATTCCATTTTCCTCCCAGGCAGGCATGAAACAGAATGTAGACGTAAATGATATACAATCAACATGGTTCCTTCCTTCTGAGAACTACATCAGGCACTTGTGCCATCATAGTGTCCTTACACAAACTAAGACATATCTGCAAACACTAGGAGACAATCTTAGGAATCTCTGTGGTACATGCAGTCTGTTATTGAATGAAATGTTATGTGGTGTCTGACTATAGTTGTTACTCTTAGGGTGTTAAGAAAATATAGAGCCAGGGAAGGGGCTGAGAGTATGGGGTGAGGGCTGTGTTTTTATATTGAATGCCAGGAAACTTAAGGCTCAGAACATAACTGGAAAGAATATGTGGAGAATATTCAGAAAACTGGAAGGAAAGCTGCAGGTGAGAAGTAAGCAAAGGCCCAGAGGCAGGAGAGCTTGTAGCTATACTTTAGTATGTCAAAGAGGGTCAAAGACATATCCATAGGACATAGTACACCATAGTAAGAATATTCTGTTTTACAGGGAACATGATTGGGTGTGAGGGAAGGTCTTTGTGGTGTTTCAAGCATAGAAAGGACATAATCTCCCCTAGGTCCTCATTATAACCCATGGCTGCCACGATGAGATTGAATGTAGGGCCAAGGCAGGAGTAGGGAAGCCAGCAAGTACTAGGTCACATTCTAGCTTTAGTCTGATGGCAGAGTTGATACTGGCTGAGCAGCTAAGCTAACAAAGAGCTTTCATGCTCTGCTGCCATGCTGTGGAACACCAGGGCATGTAAAAACTATCCCTCAGGAGGTAACAGCCTCAGCCTCCATGATGCCCCTTCTACCTGTTAATCACCCTCGTTGTCATCTGCTAACTTCATCATGCCAAAGAGGTCTCTCATTCATTGACTGTCCTCTGAATGAATAGTCTTCTGCCTAGGTCCAACATGGGCAACCTGTTACCTTCCCACCCACCTCTGAGCTTCAATATCATCATTTTATGAGTATGTCAACCCAGGTCAGCTGTCAGACCTCACTTCCTTGCGGATCTGATGTATTCTTAAACCAACCAAGCTAACCGACTGCTATAGCTCTGCTTTGCCATGTACCTGTGGAGTATTCCTTGCATGACAGGTACAGTTAATGTGCTAGGGAGATGGCAGTGAACAACAGACAACCCTGCCTGCCTGGGGGTGGCGTGGACACTCACTGCCAGCCTGTACATCTCTGTTCACATTAGAACCCTCTGCTGAGTCGCCCTCTCTAGGGGAGGAGTACAGAGAACACATTTCTTTTTTAAAGCAAAGGCTTTGTGTCTCAACTAGTGGTGATACCATTGGGAATATGGGCATCCCAATTCCTAGTTTATGAGATATTTTCAAAGAGTTCATATGGTTCCCAGCCCACTCCCCCCCCCTCCCCAAATCCCACAAGCTGACAGTGAGGATCAGAAAACCAGTTGGGTGTCCAGGGTTGGTGCTGGCAAAAGCAAGACAGAAAGCTGCCTAGATGTTCACTGCTCCAGCTTAGGAACAGAAATGCATTTCTACCCAGGGCTGGGATCTCTGATTTAAGTGGAAATGCATACCAGCCTTTTTCCAGCAGCCTTTCCTCTCAGCTGACTCTGATCTTGTTCATCTGTGGTTCTCCCTACCATGTGTCTGTCTGTCCAACCTTCTTCCCTAGCCTATATGATATCACCAGAGGGAGTCAACACCACTCTAGGTTCACACAGGGCAGAACCTAAAATAAAGCCTCTTACTCTAAGTCCTGAGGAACCCTAGCTGCAGCTAAAGCATCACTTCTGAACCCCTGCAGTTGCTTCCTGGGTAGTCTTAAAGCTCCTCTCTCCATTTTTAGGGTCTTAGAAGTGCCATGGTACAAGTGCTCAACTTTTCTTCTATTACAGGCCTGAGTGAACGTCTAGAAGCCTCCAAACTTACTTGTTTGATGCCAGTGGCTGCAGAGGCCCAGAGGTGGAGGAGGAAACCATCTGGGCTGTCATCACGGCCAGACAGAGGATAGCCTCACCAGGCCACATATGCCTTTACTATAGCTGGAACCCAAACCTAAGGACATGCAGAGAATGCCTAGGTAAGACAGAGATGAGACCCTGCCCAACCCTTGAGACATCCACTTCTGGCATGGTTCTGTCCCCCTTCTCTCTCTGCTCCCTGTCTTCCTCTCCCTTTCCCTGGCTCTCACTCTCCTTCCTTCATCACTTATCTGGTCTTCATTTCCAGCTGATCAGACCTCCTCTCTATCCCCTTATAGCCCAAACAGCTTCTTCCTCCACCTCTAGACTTTACCTATAGGCACTAAACCCTTTATAATAAGTTTGAAAGTTTCCAGAAATTCAGTCAGGCCCTGTGCTGGAAGAAAAGTTAATTGCCTGTATCAGGAAGGCACTGTCAAGCCCTCATGTACTCAGAAGCAAGCATATGTACACACCACTTGTCTTGAGCTGGGCTGCCATAATAGCTGCGCCTCACCTGGACACTGTCACTCAACCAGGTGCCCAAGAATGGGTACAATGTGAATGCCTACCCTTGCTTCTCCTTCAGGGCCCAAGGGACCAAGGAAAACAGCAAGTCTGGGATGCTAGGCCAAGCCCTGGCTATGCTTCTTGAGGCCTGACAGCAGTCACAGACTTTTTAACTTTTGATAGGGGGAGAACTTGGAAAGAACTAAAGAGATGGTACAGCCAAACTCATCTCATAAGAGTACAAAAGGCCTGGGCCCAGCCATGTCAAAAAGTGGCAGGCTGTAAACTCTGATACAGAGATATGGAAAGGGGTCTACCTATATTCAACACATAAAAACATTTTTTAAAAAAATGTAGCAGCATGGTGTGATGGCAAACCCCTGTAATCTCAGCACTTGGGAGGCCACAGCAGGAGAACTGCCACAAGTCTGAGGCCAGCCTGGGCTATAAAGTTAGACTGTCAATAAATAAAATAAGTGTGGCATGTTGCAAGTTCAGGACATGTAGACTCCTCTAATGTAAGGAAGGATGGCGTGTGTATATACACAGGTGTCAACCATCTGACTTCACTCTGCCATTCCCAGGATCAGGGCTCCTTAACTTTCACCCATCCCTGGATAGCTCAGGACCTCTAGCCTCCTGTGATATGTGGTGACCTGCTACCTACGGACTTCTCTTGGCCCCAGGGCAGTAAGGACTTTGGGAGACTGAGAGGTCAAAGAGAAGGTGAAGAACCCCCACAGAGCCTACTTAGAATAGCTATTCAGCTTCTCTGAAGTACTGGGTGCATCTGGGACTAGGCCAGAGAGCTATCTGAACCTGCAGAGATATTGGATTACTTCTGGGAAAGAGAGATGGGTGTTCTAATCAAAACTGATCCTGATGCAGCCTGGCATGTCAGAATGCAAAGGCAGGATTGCCTGTTCTAGGTCAGTCTAGGCAAGACAATATTGAAAACAACCAAACAACACAGAAACCTGACCCTTGGTTTGGCATGTTCAAGGTCCTGGGTTCAGTTCCCAGAACTACTAGAAGAATCTGTCCCCAGAAGGTCAGAGTCCCTGAAAAGGACTATCATAGTCAGCTGTGTGAATACACATCACAAATCTGGGAAGAGAAGAAAGATCAGGAAGAATGTCTGTTCTAGTTTTCTGCCCAGTTTAGCTTTCTCCCAGAATGCCCTGCATGAGTTTATGTGGTTGTATCAAGAAAGTCAGTGAGATAGGTCAGCCAGTAAAGGTGTCTGGTTCCAAACTTGATGACCTGGGTTCAATCCAGGACTCACAAGGTGGAAAGAGAGAACCCACTCTGCCATGATACAAGTGTGGTAATTTTTTTTAAAGGAAAGGGAACATGCAGAGAAGGATGTCCACTCTGTAAGATATCCCATATAGGACTTCACAGCAATCTTTTAAGTCATATGTCCAGAGTCATCTGGAACAATTAGAAACTGCAGCTTGGAGAGCAGAAGAAAGGCATAGGCCTGG